TTTCTGGGTCAGCTGGGGACGTATCCTCCTGATGTTGTAAAGAGTGTATCTGCAGCAGCGGGTTGTAGCCATGATGTTTGCAGTGAAGGACAGTTTGTTATCTAGGGTCACACCCAGATTCCTTGCAGTCTGAGTCGGGGAAACAACAGAGGTGCCGATGTTGATTGTTAGGTCAAGAGTGGGACTATCTTTTCCCGGAAGGAAAAGCAGTTCAGTCTTGTCAAGGTTGAGCTTGAGGTGATGAGCAGACATCCACTGAGAGATGTCTGCTAGACAAGCAGAGATGCGTGCGATGACCTGGGTCTCTGAGCGGGGAAAGGACAGAATTAATTGGGTGTCGTCAGCGTAGCAGTGGTATGAAAGACCATGGCGAGACCAGGGAGAAGAGGAGGGGACCAAGAACAGAGCCCTGAGGGACCCCTGTAGTTAATTGACATGGGTCGGACTCGGACCCTCTCCAAGTTACCCTGTAGGTGCGGTCTTTGAGGTATGAGGTGAGGAGGGAAAGTGCAGAGTCTGCAACTCCAAGTTCTTGGAGAGTGTGAAGGAGGATCTGATGATTCACCGTGTTGAATGCAGCAGACAGGTCCAGAAGGATGATTACAGAGGAGAGGGAGGCTGCTTTAGCAGTGTGCAGTTCCTCAGTGACAGCAAGGAGGGCAGTTTCTGTTGAGTGACCTGCCTTGAAACCAGACTGGTGCGGATCCAGAAGGTTGTTCTGATGGAGATAACAGGAGAGTTGTTTAAAGACAGCACGTTCAAGTGTTTTAGACAGGAACGGGAGGAGAGAGACAGGCCTGTAGTTTATAACATCAGACGGGTTCAGAGTGGGTTTCTTTAGGAGAGGGTTTACTCTTGCCTCCTTGAGACTGTTTGGAAAGTGACCAGAAGTTAGAGAAGTGTTGATGAAATGGGTGAGAAACGGTAGAATATCAGGAGCGATAGTCTGAAGGAGGTTTGAAGGGATAGGGTCCAGAGGACAGGTGGTAGGACGGGCAGATGTAATGAGGGTAAGAACCTCACTTTGAGAGAGAGGGGAGAAGGAGGTCAGCAAGAACGTGATTGGTCGATATTCATTGTGGGGGGAGGAGGGGTGTTAGATAGATATAGAGTTGTAGTAAGTAGATAGAGTTCCCTATGATTGAGGTGTCGTTTATGCATATGGGTAGATTCTTTTAAATTAATTACATTTCCTTTTTTTTGTTGTATTTTTAAATTTTGGATTTGCTTGGTGAGTTACTTATTGAGGGCTTGTGATCGACGTGTTGGAGACCCCTGCCCTATACAGTAAATGAAAAAAGGAGGATTAGAATGATTTCCTCTTTAATTGTCACACACATGAACACAACAGAGAAATATATACCGTGCCCTTAACCCATCCTAGTAAAAGGAGTTGTGGGCAGCTCTTACACAGCTACCGAGGAGCAATATGGGGGATTGGTGCCTTGCTAAAGGGCATCTCAGCATTGCCCATTAGGCTCTCAAAGTACCAGTCCACTCTCTGTTCTTTTTTTTTTACAGAAAAATAAAATCGTAAGTGTAGAGAACCCACTGCAGGTTGTCTCGTGCTGTTGTTACCAAAGCATGTCATATTTCTGATGTTCCCTGCACTGAATCTGTGTTCACCCGTCTCGTGTTTCAGCAAAGGAAAGACCACATTACTGAAACACATCGCCAACAGAGCCCTCAGTATTCCCCCCAACATTGACGTGCTGCTGTGTGAACAGGGTGAGTGACCTCCATCATTCCTCTCCCCTCTGTCCATGTTGTAGTCTCCCACTGACTGTGTGTGTGTGTGTGTGTGTAGAGGTGGTAGCTGACGACACGCCGGCGGTGCAGGCGGTGCTGAAGGCGGACACCAAGCGCCTGAAGCTCATGGAGGAGGAGAGGCAGCTGCAGGCTCTGCTGGAGAAGGGAGAGGACAGCGTGGCTGACAGGCTGGACAAGGTGCAAAAACTCACTTAGATCCTTCGCCTTGTGCGTTCTTATGGTGTTGTTTCATGCAGGCCTTATAAACGTGGAAAGATGTATAACCCTCCTGTCCACTTGTAATGAATAACATGAATCCCAATTAGAATGATTGTATGAAACTACTGTGCATCATTTAAACAGTGTATAAAAAACAATAGTATATGAACCCAACTTATAAAACACATTTATTTAATCATTTTACAGTAATTAGCATAACGTTCATCTAACATCTTATTGAACGTTTAAAACCTAAAAGTACTTTGGCTGATATTGCATTGGATGGAAAATGCTTAATAACCACCATAACTTTCATTTGTGTTTTATGGTCTCAGTCGGTTGTTAACGTGAACGGTGCCTCACTTAAGATGTTGCGGTCGCAAAGAATTGTGCGACCGCATTATCTCCTCAGTGTATCCTACGCTTAAGGAGATAAAGGAAGCATTTAAGCTCCTTTCCTATCATCTAGAGAACTGTTAGAAAAATATCACTCGTCACCGGCTTGGTCTTCAATATCAGGATACATGTATTTATTATTCTTGCATGAATGGAAGTAGTCATCACATACAAAGCTGCGTGGGACAAATAGTTCCCTGAATAGTGTCCTTGACATGCTTATATACAAGAGAGTGTTGCAGTCACAAGATGCAGAATACCGGATCAAAGCAGTATTCAATGTTTAGTTCAGATTAGCTAAGGCCTGCGTAAGCAATAAACATGACAGTCATATGCCTATCTCCATAGAGGCTGAATCATCATGTTA